CATATATACATTACCGACTAGAAGAAATTACGCCGTTAGTTATTAGCGTAAAGTCTTACACAAAACTGGTAAACGTTATTATCCGTTACCTTTCAGCCAAGCTAATCAAACATCGCAATGGATATCTGAAACTGATGGAAGCGAAGAAAGTACCTTTATAGATGTAACGGCCAACTGACGTAAGTCGGCTCTCGAAAGTCTCATGGTAAAAAGCTTCGTTTTCTTTATCTTGATGTTGAGGATACTATGAAATATGTAGAGAGCACCATCGTAGAATTCAAAGACGATGGGTAAACAGGAATCTCCGCTTAAAAATGATTTACATGCAAACTGTACTTTTGTACTCATGGATGATTTTATCGTGGTCCAATTTTGACTGTATATTATCATAAAAGATAGCAATTCAGTCTATCCGTTGCTTTTAGCGAAAACTGAAGGCTTTAGGAGCAATCTCGTAAAATACACTCCAAATTGCAACATGTTGGTTTTATTTAGATCTGTTTGGCATTCTCTTCAGTGGTCAAATATTATCTGACTTTGTAAAATAATTTCTCAGTTGTATGCAAGATGGTATTGAGAGTCTCCTAGCGATGCGATCGTAAACAGCGAAAAACCTAGTCGAATCTTGTTACTAAAGTAGGGGAGCCAAGTACATTTATTTTTAAAGTTAGTAGAAGGGACTCGTTTGAAGCAAGTAACCCGACAATAAAGAGCATAGGTTTAGTTTAGCACTGAGGCAGATTTTTTCCGGATGCTTGACCAAGCCATTACATGACGCAAAATTGTTCTGTTGTGTCAGCTTATTTGGGTCAACTGCCTGCCAATAAATCAACTCAATTTCAAACCGTCGACTTATTGTAGACAGCTAATTAGTTCAATGGGAATCGAAGATGTGTCATTATTCAAGTACGTTTAGACGTCGATGCGTGTCAGATTACACATCAATGAGCTCAACTGAGTACCAACTGAAAACAAATACTGTCATACTCAATTCGAAATTTAAAACTCAAAGTGGCTGTGAGCCACGCACTCTAAAAGCGGCGTCGACAAAATCTGGATCGGACCGATTCGGATCATGGACCGGATCACGGATCGAAAAACAAAAGGTTTGGAAAATGAAAAAATCAAATCGTTTATAAAATGATAATAATACTTTAAAAATGAGAGAGAAAAAACTTGAATAGGTCGACGCCGTTTTGAAAGAGGCAGGCGACTGAACTGAGTTCGTTTGAATCAGTTGATCTCTGGGTTCAGTGGTTGGTAATTATTGTCACTCACTTAACAAACATGCACAGTGTTTTAAAAGCGAAGAGCCTTTTGAAATTTTTCTTATACTGTAGCGCAAAATTGGGAGTTCAGGCACAAACCCAACTTTACGAATCGCTTCGATTGTTTACGATCTGATGTGAAAAGGGAACTGTGAGAGCAGCTAAAGTTTTTGAATTTCATTATCTTATGTAAACATTGGCGGCGATGCTTATTAAGGTACAACGTTTCGAGGCAGAAAACTGTTGGAGGTTTGAAATTAGAAGATCCTCGCAGCTAAGAACACTACTGAAACTAGTAGTTGTAAGTAGGACCTGAAAAAAATTTCAGGCCCGTACGGGATTTGAACCCATGACCTCTGCGATACCGGTGCAGCGCTCTACCAATTGAGCTAACAAGCCAACTGGGAGCTGGTAGGAGGTTTGTTATCAGATGTAAGCGGGAGAAAAATTCTTTAGACATATGTTCATCGCGTTACAGTGCAAATATTATTGAGGGACTGTAATTCGGAACGGGGTGTTAGTAAACCGAGAACATGTAGACCGCGGAACTTCTGGAACCAGCGGAACCCAAGCTCACTTAGTGAGCCTCTCTGAATAGACAAATATATTCACGTTATGCAATGGGTGAAATATTAGGATTTGCATGGCGAGGAACAGTCGCACTCTCAACCTTAAAATATCTGGACTAGTTTTGAATGAAGTCAAATTTACCTCGCGCAAGTGGTTGTTCTTTTGCATCGTATGAATTTCTTGGGCTGATTTAGGGCAATTTAGCTTGGTTTTCGTTCATCTACTTTGCCTTCCACGTAATTATTTCCAAGATACGTCTGTTAGAAACGCCAACCAAATAAATTCACCGTGAGCAACACGCATTAAGTTCACTCCTGCCATCCTGATCACTCCGAAATTCAGCGTGCATCAGCGGCGATGATATTACTTTGCACTCGTATTCCTCACCTCAGGGTCATGTACAATGAAAAGGAATTGACAGCCACCAATTCCAGCCGGAAAGGTTTGCTGAGAGCCTTTGGATGAGGCTTTATTCGGATATCGCGGTATCCAAACCATAAGAGCTTTCAAATTATGATTCTAGTTACTAACACTCGGGGTAGGTGACTGCTGATTGTTCCTCATGACATTACATATCACTGTGAAGTGAATGTCACTACAACATCGCCCAGAATGCTATTGTCTTTCGCGACATGTACTTGCAGTGCCCATTTAATCAGCGGGAAGCATAATAATTTGCATATCCTGAACTAGTCGGTTGTGATTGGTCAACAGGTAAAGCTTTGGGAATACATGAGTCTATTTGCAGATTTCAGCTGCTGTCAATCAAACGGTTGGATGCGTAAAGTAAATCCCAAGGTGACATAAAGTGAACAATAGCAATAATTAACAATAGCCACGCTCTTAACAAAGCGTTTAGCAAATTCGTTTGCAGCGAATTCTTATATGGACTGACAGACTCCCGTTGGTCAAAATGTTATCGGAATTATAAAAATTAGTATCATGAAAATAGAAAATAGAAAAAAAAATTTAGAAAAAAAGTTTCATGAAGAATCTACTTCGTTAAAATCGCTTCAATCGGTAGAGAAAAATATGAGCGATGCTTCCGACAACCGGCTTGTGAGTGCGACGATCGTCGAGACAGAACTAGAGTCTATCTTGCGATAATAATAGGAGTGTGGTTTCCATATGATAGTAACGATTGCTGAATATTTCTGCAGCGATCTCAGCGATCATATCTTAAAAGCTTTTACAGTTTTTTAAGCATTGTCTAGTTACCACCTCAATTTCAATACTAATTAGGCGGCGTGTGCGCGATTGTTTGCGGAGGCGGAGCTTAACATACCTTGATATTCTCGCGGGAAGTTTAAAATAGGTCACTTGTATTCTCGTGGGGGTCTCCAAAGGACAAATTTGGATAGAACACTACGATGCTTAGGAAACGTTTTCGAAATTCGCGTTTTGCGACTACTTCCAAAGTTTGGAATCCCTTGAAAATTTCTATGACGCTTTCTAGAATGTCAAATAAAAATAACCATATGGTAAAAGAGAAATCTAGCAATTGAGTGAAGATAAATTACGCCTGAAAGTGCGCTGAGATCGACTTCTCATACAAGCAGGATGCTAACATAGTCAATTTTCAAGGCAAATTTGCGACCTCTTCTGAAAGCGCAAGAACAAAGTGAGAATGATACACTATTCAATTGAACTTTCTTCTTTAAAAGCCATATGGTAAAAGTAGCATTTGAAAAGTAGTTTATCCGTAAACGAAGAGAACGTAAGCCTTCCTCGACATTTTCAGCCCTTTTCCTTTATTGTTTGACAATCATTTTCTAATTAGCTTTTAAATTTAGCGCCAGCGTCTCAATGAAAGTCCCGGATATGTCGCTGAATTCTGGGCGATGAATTGAAAGTCAATTATTTCTAGCTATTAACTATCAACTTAATCTTCTTTATACCCGAAAACGAAATTTCGAACAAGTTTAAGGGTTTTTTTAAAATTTTATATATATCTAATATTTTTTTTACCAAGAATATATGGTTCCACAGGTTCCGCTGGTTCCACAGGTATGAGGTCTGCTGATCCTTAGTTTAGTAATACCCGAACAAAGATTTGCATCGCACCGTCTAAATTTGAAGAATTTTCAAACCTGAACTAGTTGACCAGTGAGAGCTTTAAGCTATAAAAATAAATACGCACACAAACTGCGACTATGAAACCCTTATGCACTGGTCAGCAGATTCACTTAAAAATTAACAGGAACACAGCTCTCAAAGATAATGGAAATTTTAGAGAGCGCTGAAATCGAACGATAACTTTGGACTGAGCGAGCGTCGCTAGTATTACAAATCTGTGTGATCTTCGCGATTTTCAACTTGTCAAAGAAAATACCGAGTGACATTGGCAAATTAAATATTGGTTGCAAAGGATTCAAAATTCATCACTGGATGCCTGAGTCGTCGATGGAGGGATTATCCTTTTTTAAATAAGAATGAAAGTGAGGCTTACCTGTACTACATTAAGCTCTCCATTGACGTGATTTCCATACGACATACAGAAAAGCCACCATTCCCCACTCCCCGATTGTTCCGCTCCAATTTGTGAAGAAGGACAGTACAGAAATCAGAACATTTAGTATATCATATATTTTATATTCTTGGGTGTAGCATTAACGTACCATATAATACAACTATGTAAAATTTGTTTTCAGGCTCAGTGTTTATCGTGAGATACGCCTTTAAACAGAGATGACCGATCAAGGTATGTTATTTCCTCATCTAATGAGCGTCGATGACAAGGAACTCGGTGACAGAATATTGCGAAAGGAGAAGGTTAATACAGTTATGTTAACAAAAAAAGCGCTTAAAAAATAAAGAATCACGAAAATGTAGGCTTGAGCAAGACTCTAACCAATGATACAGATGCACTGCTCAACAGCCAAAATTGTATAAATATTTGCGATCAGATAAGACGAAGTATTTAGAACTTCATCTCAAACTCTTCATTCAGTTACAAAAATAATTTAATAACGGAGCATTGACAAGTTGCGTATAATGTGGGATGCTTCTGATTCACGAAAGGGATTGTGACAATCTATTCTCAATTTTATAAAGGTTTTACTAAAAGCTTGAATGAGACGAAAAAGTTGTAATGTGTGGTTGCAGGTGAAGTTTTTCGCGATGAAATTCGCCCTGTCCACGTGCAGTTCACATTCAAAGAAGATTCAGCTTACTCCCTTGAGCTGGATGGTGACCATGACAATGTTTACTATTGGCAAGTTCCATCTGGGATGACTGAATCATGTTTTCTCGATTTCTTAATCGAAGTTGTGGTTGCAATCTCCTTGGAAGATGTCTCCAACCAGGAAACAGAACGATTTCTTGATCTCCTTAATTGTACTTCTGAAACACTTCTAGAGTTAAAGAAACTCAACCACAAGCGCACGGAATGGTATAAAAGGGATGACGAGAAAACTGCATCCATATTACGCGCCAAGCTTGCTGACTTTGAACCCATTTTACCTTACCCGTCCCAGGGAAACATTACAAGGGTGTCTCTACGAATAAACAACGAAACAGATCCTTCCGGGGAGCTACGAAGAACGATAAACCAAAGCCTCTGGAATGAAGCAACATTTTATGCTGAAAGTGACGCAGAGGCTGAAAAGGAGGAAAGCCAAGATTCTTGTCTAGATGATCTTTACTCGTCAGATGAAGATGAAGAAGTTGAGCGGGAAGTCCAGGCGACCCCGGAGAGGCCATGTTATTATCCTTCTCAAATAGAGATGGCAGCGATATTAAAGAAACGAATTGATACCATCATGTCTCATTACCACAGCATTTCAAGATTAAGGGAGGTCTTCAACGATATTGAATTCGTAGTGTACACAGCCCGGTACAGAATGCTGAGTGATCAGACAGAGAAGAGGATTTGCCATCCTAACGCAGGTGTACTATCAAGAGAAGAACTCGAATCACGCAAACGTGACCGTGATGGAAAGAAAAGGATGTTCATGTATGTTCGTAGTGCAGAAACGGATACGCATTTTGATGAACTCAAAAGAGATGTTCAAGAAAAACCTCAGACACTGTTTGTCATTGTAGCAGACGAATGCCATTGGGGAATAACACGAGACAAAGAGAGAAAATCCTCTGCCCATAATCTTTTCATCAATGAATGGTGCAAAAAGGACCCTCCAAGAAATGTGATTGTTGTACAAATCTCGGCTACACCTTTTAACCTCCTGACGAAGAACTCTCGCCTTCCCGTGGTTTCCTGCGTCCTTATGAGAGACAGTGACGTTACCACTCTGAACGAACAGACAGCAGGCGATCTTGTGGTGCAGAAGCAAGGCTCTAGCCCTAAAGAGCATGTGCGAAACACCTCAAAGGAAGTAGAACTTCATGTTATCCATTGGTCCGAGGTCGAACTTAAAAACTTTGAAAGTGGAATGCGAATGAAGCTCAAGTCAGCTTTGATCACTGAAAACTCCCCGTACCAGTACCTTCAAGTCTCCACAAACGGAAAACTAAGTGTAACACCTGAGCGAGATGATGCGACAGTATTCATCATCCAAGGCAGTCACGGCATTGTTACTCTCAAAGCAGAACAAACACCTTCGAAGACCTTGACCGTCATCAAAAATGTCAACGGAAATTTAGAAGCCAAGCATGATCCTCCAGAGCCAACAGAATTTGAAGTTAAGCTAGATTTTGGAGTAGGGGTGGTTGCATTTTGTTCCTGCGACGGACAAGATCACTACATTTCTGTTGACGCGAATAACTGCGTCAGTTTGCAAACCGCCAAAATTGAGCGAAAATGTGGTGTCTCTATTATGAAACCAAAACACGACCTGGCTAAAGTTTCTTTCCAATTCTACCCTGATCAGTCGGCACCAATGCAGGTGAACACGGCTGGGAAGCAGTATATGAGTTTGAACTACTATCTCAGCACCCTGAACAGTCCCATCAAGAAAGACCAGAAAATTCGGGAAGATGAGACCTTTCAACAAATTGTGGACAAGGCTAAGAGAGGGAGGAAAATGTCACAGTCAGATTCGACTTCCTTTCCAATCGATGCCTTGCTTTGTGCTGATTACTGCTACCACATTATCCATTCGAGTGTTTTCGATAGTGGTGACAAGATACGTGAGGCACTGACCCAAAGATTCAAAGAATCACCCGCATCTGAATTCCACAGTCGCCTCAAATCATTCAAGGGGAACCTTTATTCAACAGACTTGGAAAGGTACATTGACCCAGAGGCTTTCGAGCTAATCCAAAAAGATATCTGTCATAGAGTGAAACAAACCTTTCAAGAAAATCTGAAACAAGTAGCCAAGTTGCAGAAACAGATGTCACCTGACTGTGTTAAATTACAGACAGCTGAGGAAGAACTAGCTACATCATTTGTTGAATGCATGATGCATCTTCCTCCCCAAGAGCTGGAAAAACTCGAACACGTTGGTGACGTTAAACAAACACTGCAAGAGTTTAAAATGGTCGCAAAATGGCACGATCTCGTTCAAGCACATGAAACACATTACTTAGTGGAAGATTTGATTCAGAGCGGGAAAGGTGATAAGGGAAAAATGAAAATTGTACGAGCCAAGACAATGAGAACTGCTGACCAATTTTACTACACGGTACAACTAGCGAGGAAAATGTCACATCTTGAAGAATGCTTCGAAGTCATTAGAGACTATGGAGGAATTCAGATCGAGAACCAACTAATGAAGTCGTCAAGTCCCTTTTTCAAAAAACTTCAACCAAAAACTTGCACCAAAAAGTTTGATTGTAATTGCAGTGAGCTGAAACTACAACTCAGACAGAAATCGTGTGCCAATTGTCAGCACGTACACAAATCGATAACGCAGTATGAGGACCTGGAAAACCTGGCATGCATACTCATTTTGGTCGATAAAGGTCGCATGGGTGACACATTTCCTCAAAGCTTTGACTGTCTCGACTTGCGACTTAACTACGACAGCAGTCAAGAGTTTAAGGAGGGCTCAGCAATGTATCTGTCAAGTCTTATTCAAGAGCTGGGAAGAATGTGTCGTTATGTGAAAGTTCCAACAAGTACGTTTCCTTATGCATTGGTTGGGCGACAGCTATTCAAGAAACTCCAAATGTCATTGGAGACGTCTCCGTCAATGAGTGCAACTATCCGTATTAAAGCAGACCGGTATATGACAACGACGCGCAAGGAAAAAGGGGCACATTCCTCGTCACTGCGATGGCTAGACTATGAAGCTCATAAGGACAGCTACGATTATGAAAACGAACAAACGCACTGCAACAGAATACTTCTACAAGCCGAACCTCAAATTGGCAAGACTGGAACGTACTTGTGCCTGATAAGAGATTTACGACTGGATATTTTAGGGAAGGAAAGAGTTTTGCTCACTTCACCCGCTGCATTTGACGAAGGTTCCTTCTACCAGTGGAAGGAGAGAGATGTTCCTGACGAGTCGGTTGTCAGAGAGATGGACGAATGGAAAGACTGGCAACTTCCCTTTTGGAAAACGATCGAGACTTCTCCAAGCTTGCACGAAAAACCAGTTGGGACGGGAAAGTATTCAATAGGAGGTTGCTTTTACACTCATGACATGGAGGAAATTCCATATATTCTTCTGAAGGGAGAAAAGCAGAAGTTAGTTAAGACTGGTCATCAACGCCTCAAAACTGACGATTGTTCAAATGGCCTCCGTGCCTGGCACTGGTACCATTTCGAAAAATGTGCTGAGTGTGGAAGACGTCTTCAAGGTAGAGAATCTATCCAAGAAAATGCGAAGGTAGACATTGATGGTATCCCAGTCACTGTTAGATGCTCCCTGCCGAGCAATTGTCCATCATTCGCACAGCTGAAAGAATGGTCAAAGAGAAGTAAATCCTTACATGATGATCACACCCTGCCTTACTGGATATTTCATCCTTCACACAGAAGCGATCCAAAAAAATGCACTCTAAATTACCACCACGTAATGAAAGACGAGGAATTTGTTGCCAATTATTTCCAAGCTGTCGTTGTTCGAGGGGAAAAGTTCGAGGCTTACAGGGAAACTTGGGGAAAAGTGCTCGTCATTCTACAACTGCCAGAGAAACTTCCAAACTGCGGCCTTGGACCGGATGAAGGAGGAATTGGTTATGCCAGACTGTTTATTCAAAAGTTCGCATTTTCTTTAGAGCTTGAATACATCTTCATGATTGATGACAATATGGCCATGATGTCTGAGGCAGAATTTGCAACTGATCATATATCTGGAAAAGAAAGAAAAGTCCTCAGAGATGACAATGGGGTGATGCAAATGAGACGCGGTACTTTCCTAAAGCCTTTGAAAAGTCTTCAGAGAATAATGCAGGGAAAGGACACTCCACCAATGGCTGACGGGGAATACGAGTCTCATCCTTTAAGACATAATTTTGAAGCGGAAGGTTTTCCACTGTATACCTACACTGGTCCTGCGAAATTGTTCGGCGATAAGCAACATGGGAGCTATGGTATTCTTGGTCTGATGAGAAGTTTCCCAAAAGCGGTGCGTCCCTTTATAAAGACCCAAGTGTACGCTGTAGTCTTGCTGAATGTCAAAAGTACTGTGGAAAAAGGCAACTTTTACCGTCCATGGCCATGCTGGGAAGATCTGCGCTTCAACGATGATTGTGACAAAGCAGGTCTATGGGTTGTTAAATGCAACCGTTACTCCTTCTTCAAAGTTCAGTACAAAGACTGGATTGAAAACTTAGTCCTCCCCCAAATCTTCCCTTGGGATGAAAATTGTACGATCGTGGAGGGACCACTTCAAAGCGAGTTACCTGAAGACCTGGAAGAGAAAATTATCCTGGAGCACCTTAGCCGCTTTGTGAACACGTGTGGTCCTGACAAGTGTTTCAAAGGAAGCATCGGATGTGATCGACTGGATCAAAGAGAGGAATCTCCCCTTCGCATTGTTGAAATACTCGATGCAGACATAGTTACAAAAGAAGACTTCGCTCGAGGAGTTTCGTTCCTGGTTCTCTCCTACAGTGCAGAAAATCGGAGGAGAGAGACCCTATATCTCCTTGACTTATATTTCTGTAAAACTAAGGAGAAAATTGTCTTCGTTGCCACTGCCGAGGAAGCAAAGAGGCGGTGGCCTCAGTTGACTAAACACAGCTTATCAACCGAGAACGGTATTTGTCACAACGCCGAGATGAGTGAAAGAAATGCGCAATTTGCTATTTTTTCAGCGGCGGACCCAAGAAGGCACCGTCTGCGTTGGATTTTGATTGAGGCATCCTTCTTGCAAGGCAATGAGGAACTCGAAAGGGATGCTAGTACAGGTAACGAAAATGCCTTCCCAAGTGATCTCGTGGACACGAGAGATGTGTCAGCAATTAAGGAACGAATCCCAAGTAGCATGGAAAATAGAAATAATTCGAAGAAAGAGGGAAAGAGATCCCTTCAAGAGCCCCTCGCTAACTTCTGCGAAATCAAGAGGCAGAAGATAGAGGATGACAACTTATGTCCTGGTGAGACAGATAACGATGATAATGACGATTCGATGTCTAATGAGGATGATGATGATGATGATATGATATATTTAGGAACTTCATCTAATCAGCAAACATCACAATATGACCGCAGGGTTTCTCATCATTCTTCCGACTTTGGAGAAAGCAGCTCAAGCAGAAGACGTTCTTTGGATTCGGCGCACAATGACCAAGATTTCTCTCAAGATGAAATGTATCCCTCTGATTTAGGCGAGACTGGAGATGATAGAATCCAAAACGATACTGATACCATCCTCCTCAATGAAAGCTGCCCATCTCAAGACATGACCCAAGAAGACAAAAGTGATTATTCTAAGTATCTCGAAGGGACAAGTGATGTCACTAAAGCTATCGTCGATCTTTGGATGAAATACAAGAAAATTTCGGGATCGAGCCTTAATGTCAGGGAAGAGATAGCGAAAAGGCTTGCTGAATTCACTTCTAATCAGTTAAACGAAAGGGACAAGAGAGGTTACACTCCACTCTTGAAAGCTTGTTCGTTACCTTCTATGAGCCCCCATGTGATGAAGTATCTTATGGGTACAAAGATAGATGTCACCTGTCAGCTACCAGCTGACTTTGACAGACACCACCCAGCAGGGGAGGGGCTGATTCCAGGGATGTCCGCCTTGTCAGTAGCAATTAAATGTAGAAATGTTAGCCTGGTTCAAATTTTCAAGAAACAAGAAAAAGAAAAATTGATAAAAATTGAAGACGAGGATGGAAATACCGCTCTGCATCATAGTATTCTTACCTGTTCTAAATCTGCCTTTAGGGCACTTTTTCCTTTATTTGAGCCAAAGGATGGGAGAGAAATGCTCAACAAAAAGGGAAAGAGCCCTTTAGAAATTGCTCTAGAGATGGAATCGAGTGGAATGTCTAAAGGAAAGCAAGAAGATAACATCCGATTCATGATTAAAGAAATGAACAAGAATAAAAATGGGAACCTCGTAAAATATCTCAGGTACACATCTTTTATTACCTTTTACTCTTGCAGTGTAAGTCAGCCAGATCATTGTTTGTGATAACTTTGGTCCAGAGTAGTTTTAACGTAACTGAAAGTGAGATGCATAATAATCAAGACAAATGACTGTAAGCGAAGTCCAATTAAGCTGCCCACACCATTACATACATAGGTCTGAGCCTTGCCAACCTGTGAGATGCTGAAATCTAGCTCAGAGCTAGATAAATACACTTTTGGTTGATTGCAAACTGATCTAGTTTGAAGAAATTTTCCTCTCATGTTCGTTTTGGAAATTTCAATCTAATTAATGTTCATGTCGGAGTCTTCAACGTAGTTAACGTGGATGAAAAAGAAGACGTCATCTTTCCAGTTTCATCCTGGTTACTTGGCTGACCTGTGAGATGACGTCTTGGATACTGAGCCTGCTTTACTAAAGGGCTCATAAAGCGTGAAGAAGTTGGTCCCTTCAACGCAATACGACAATCCCTCAACTATAATCCTTACTGAAATTGCAATTCATCCCATATATATCTAAAGGGATTGCATTTTTTAAACAGCTATGGGACGTATAAGATATGTTAGATTTTACTTAAAAGGTGAGGAATTAGACTGGAAGGGTAATCTCGTAGATAGATCTTTACCAGCTTTTTTAATACATATTTGCTGTTGTCGTTGCGAGTGAAAATTCCCAGGAGGTTGTTGAAGAGCTCTGCAAAAATCATTTCATTCCATCAGAAATATCAACCTATTTATGAAAAATATTCAAGGTAAATAGATGGTTAAGTTGAATTTATTAAAAAAGGAGATTTTAAAAGCTCCTTTTCGACTTTTTTTTCCTTTCACAGTCCGAGATCAAAAATTGCATCAACTGCTTATGGACCTCGTTAGAAATCTTGTAAGCAAACGGAGAAGTGATATGAGCCCTCAGTGTTCTGTGTCTGCCATCATCAAGTAAACAAGTAAAGCGACATACAGTTATTAAGATGTCACATGCACCCTCAGTGTTGTCCACATGCACCTGGCTAACAAAGTAAGATACGATTCTACAGAGATGTGTAGTATATAGTGCTTATTTACATCCGCCATTGACAGTCGACATAATAATTTGTCGTGGTTTTCCTCCTGCAAAGTCCTAAACTATTACGCGTATTTCTCACAACCAATCAGCAAAGATCCGCATCAAGAGACAAAACAAGGACAGAGGAATCGTAAGTGAAAACACATTCTGGAACCAGATTTGATTTGCGAAGAGAGACATTGTTTCGTCTTTGTAATAGACAACCACTGGACATTTTTAAACGTAGATGAATTCATGTTACAATTGTGTAAGTAATACGGATAGAAGACAGTCTTCGTCTAGCCATAGAAACATATTTATCTATGAGGAATGATAGGGCTGAGACGAACATGCGACTTAGTGCAATTCATATTTAGCATAGAAGCGATATTAAAATATTGATATTTAAGTAAGGTTTCACTACGAGGGTTTTTAATATCTTTTAGTGATAAAAAGACGCCTCCTTCAAGTAGCGTAGTGAAAACAAAAACCTTAAGAAAATGACGTGTTTTTTGTCGGTACAAAGATACAAGTTAAAGTTAGGGTTGCCTTCAGCATTTGCCTCGAAACTAAAAACGCGCCTTCAAAAGATTTTTTTAAAACCTGATTAGGTGATGTACTGCTAGAAAAATAAGAACCGAAAAAGCAGACTATTTAAACGAAAAACTAGAAGGAACTGATAGTACAACTAATCGTTTGTGGTAAGTAAGTTTAAAAATAGGTGATTTTATCGTAAGACTGTTTCAACCATCGGAATGAGAGTTTTCGGGTTTTCACATAATTATGATTTTTACGATGGAAGCATACCAAGCTGTAAAAATCTCATGTACCTCTGTTTGAACTACGCCGTATGGGAATCTTACGATCCTTAGAGTAGCAAGAAAATAAGCAAAAATTTAGAAACCCTAGGCTATATACAGCTATAAGTTTAGTCATCTCATATATATATATGGTATTTGCCGGCTGGGAGGTCCGTATGGTGAAAAACTGTGACCGAGATCACAGATTTCACCACTCTTGCTTCGAAATTCGAAAGGTAACAGTTAGTTTTAGCTAATTAAAGCACACGTAGATCTATAATAGTGCACACTGTTGGCTTGTTATTACACTTTCTTACCAGATTAGCTCGCCATAAATGCGTATTTGTTAAGGGTTCTGAGCGTTTGCAGGCGGTAATAAGTGCTCTTCCGGTTACCGTCTGATAAGGAGAACCCTGAGTGTCTACGACTCATGAGTCCAAAACAGCACTTTTTTCAATACCAAGAAGTTACGTTATCATTATTACATACTTTAAAAGCTTTTAATGTCTTATAGAGTTTCACTGATGGTTAAGCATTTTTCAAAACATAAAAGCTGTCAGAAGTTGTCATTAAAGTGAAAAAAATGATTGACGTTCGAGTCTGGTATACAATGTTTTTAACGGGGCGTTTTATTGTAGATCTTTACATTTTCACTTCCATGGTGGGCAGTCATAGAGATTTATTGGAACAAAAGAAAGTGTTAACATTGAGTCCTGAGGACTGTTTATGGTGGTGATGACTACCATTTCAACAGCCTTAGAGGAAGTCATTTTAAGAGTTGCACCATCTTCAATGATGACTTCCTCTAAGGTTGTGGAAACATCAGTCACCACTGCAAACAACAGTCTTTCCCAGGGCTACTCTCGACTGGACAATCAGATTAAATGATCACCTGTTACTCCAAATTAAAATCATAAACTTTACTAGTAACCATGGAATTTAGCAGTGGCAGATCCATGAAGTGGCTCATCATCCAACGTTTCAAAGTCAAACTGGAATTTGGAGCATTCCCAGTTTTTGTTGAGGAAGGAAATCTGGAGAACTTTAAGGCAAAACTCTCGCACAGGGCACAGCTGAGCACTCTTAACTCTCACAAAAATGCATCCCAAAGAGTGAAAGGAGCTGTCATAATATTTTTCGAGTCATTTTCTTGTGCCCATTACAAATTTACCCTGATGTTGACGGTGGTGAAGAACATACTAGCAAACCCATTTAGGGTCACATCTTGACCATAATTGATCCTAATGACAACTGTCACTAACTCATCTATTAACAATTGATTAAGACCAATATTCTCCAAAGTTTGTCGTGTTGTTTGCTGTGTGTACTCATAGAACTTCTCTCCACCTGGAGCTTGCAACATTTCTGGCACAGTATTGAATGCCTGTTCCTTTTCTTGCAGATCATAAATATTTGTAAAGTTTGTTGACATTTTTGTGATAAAATTGTTCACGGTAAGCAAGTCAAACAAGTGTGACGATAGTTTTCCGCCCCAAAACTGGAGGACTGACTCTTCGCGGACGGAACAATAACAACTGGGGGAACTAACTCTGTAGAGACGACTTGGCAGCGAGAACGGAAACTCGTCACGATTTCCTGGTACACGGAGATCTACTTCGAGCGAGCTTATACGGACGTCAAGGATAAGACAATCTTTGGTTCCACAGTACTTTTATTCTAGGTCAGGCCAACAAGCGACATGACCTCTAGCATACTCTAGTTTGTAATCACCAAAGCTGTACAAGGTACTTGCTTAAGAACTAACTGGTGTGAGGTGCCATCGTTACACAAATCGCAATATTTGAATAAGGACACAAAGGAGCGGAAAAAATATCTCTTTGAAGTTAAACGAAAACTACTTAAATATTCCATCTGTTTCCACGACGGAAAGTATCTCAAAATTAAAAAGAAGGATGCAATAAACTCTAGGCCATTAAAGTAGGAAACCTAGGTGCGATTTTACAGCTCTGGTATAGAAAACAATACCTATCTTAATTGCAGTAGCGCAGCTCAGGAAATAAAAAACGAAAAAGCAATTAAAAGTTTCTGCTTATTTATACAAGATTGGTTTGGAAACCATTGCATGAAAAGAAATTAGATTTGCGCTTTTAAACTCAGCTGCTATCTACCATGAAAACCAATGTTTCCAGAAAGACCATTAACACTTATATTTACCTAAAAAAAACCATGTAATAAATGACAAAAGTGCCGACAAGCAGGTGCATATGATGAAAGCGAGTAACAACAAAAATCTATTCAAAAGCTACTGTGGTTTTTTTATACATTTTTTGATTTATTAAAATGAAAGGACTTTAAATGGTTAAATGTGAAAGTTTACGAATAAATATGTTCCGAATAACACATACGGGAAAATCATTAATTTTTCCCGCAACACAAGACATGCCGCCAAAATAGCTTTATGAAATTCACAATTTTCCATCTGCAATCATATAAAAAACAAATCATAAAGTCCTTCCCTATTATAAATTCCAAGAAGGCTGTTAAGGTCACTGCTTTTTAGTTTTTAAACCCTACTTACGGAGAAAAAAATACGAAAATAAAAAAAATTGATAAGTATGTCACATGTTCCAAGCCGTGATTGTTTTGGTCATCTTGGAAAGGAGAAAAATTGTCTCCAATAAATTTGCAGTGGTTTCCAATTGGTGGCTTATTTTTGATGGTCATGTTGCAAGAAATAACATTTTTATCTTGTGGTCTTTAAAGTCTTAAATGGACATGGAGTCAACATTTACATCAAATATAATACATGCATCAAAGAATAATACATGGGCACACAGAGATATGGGATTTCTCTATGAGTGATCAACTTGATATGTCACTCAGTCACAAGCACCCATGGCCATGTATTATTTTATTCCTGGATAAACCCCACCTTGGCCTTTACTGACAGAGAAAGTCAGCTCAATTTAAGAAAAAACGAATCCACAATCTGAAAAAAGTAAGTTAAATTCAGTTATGATAAGGGCTCTAAATGTTTAATAAATTCACTTCTCGCATTATTGTCGTTTATAAATTACTAAGGTTGAAGTGGTTGCAAAGAATATAAAAGTATTAAAAGAGGTAGGCCTTCTGAAAAATTTTCGTAACTCTTTTTTATCACTTTTTTTCCGCTTTTTGTATCATTTTTTTTCAATGCATTTCATTAATTTTATGTCATTACCAGTTTCCTGGGATGGGGGGG